ACAGTTTGACAAATTATTGTTATTATTGACAAGGGCTATCCACCTGTAACTATCTGTTAATGACAAAAAACATCATTGCCGCTGTGCCTTTTCATAAAAAAATTGTAGAACAGAACTTTTTTGATATCAAAAATTCGTAATTTGAAGCAAAGATCGTAATTTTTTTTTTGAATGCTTAAGTATTCCAATACGCTGCCAGTCCAACGTGGGATTTTTTCAAAATAATGCTTATTAACAAAGTTGAAATTCGATCTTCAACTGTTAATATCTTCTAAAAAATTTCGAAATGGTACTCCCCAAGGAAGCCTCTATCACCCCTTAAAAGGAATGACGCCAATTTTGAATCACCCTGTATATATGATTATTTTGAATATGAAGGTATCAAGTCCGAACGTAGCAACCCGCAGGCATTCTGGCACTCCTATGAGTGCGATAGAGATTTCCAAGGTCAGCTACGTTCCTGACTAAGAAAATCAGTTTTGGGGGATTTTGATCGACACTGCAAAACGCAAAAAATTGTATAGGTACCTACTTTCTAAGATGAGTGAAAAAACTGCACCAATTTGGGCCCCAAATCAATAAGTGAAGGCCCACTAATCCCCCTTGTTGCCGTTTACACAGCGATAAGGCAGTTATTTATTTGTTTATGGACTGTTTTCCACATTTCGCCAATCGAATGGACCGCAATCAAGTTGCTTAATGATTCTCTGGAAAGAAGCGGACATTTAATAATTAATTTACCGGCATCAGTGGCGTAGACCCGCTAAGGAAAAACGACAGTGAACCAGTTGGCACTTTGTCGACACAGATCAGTGTCGTGCATGCAAAACAAATGAATCGAAACCGCTCTTAAATAAATAAATAGTGTTAGTCAGCAAGCAACATGAAGAACGTCAAACTGTCGGGAACAGTGACATGAATGACATAAATTATACTTAAACCTCCCCCTGTTCCGCTAAGAATCTTATTACTACAAGCATAATGAAATAATGTTAGCTGTAGTAAAGTTTGCCTTAATTACCAAGTAGGTATACTGTATTTTATAAAACGTCCGGTTCTTTTCAAAGTGGTTTGATAGATTGTAAAAAATTGAAACAAATCATTTAGATTTACTAAACGCAAAACCATCGCCGGAAGAGTAAAACTTTCGATAAAATTTTGTACACTTGTGTACAATTTTCAACTCAATTTTTTTCAGCATGTGGCTTGCTTAATAATAAATAGGTTGTACTTATTTGATTCCTCTTTTTCTGTAACTATTTTTCTATTCGCTGCACTCTGCAACGTACGTAGTACTTCATCGAACCTCACTGTAACACGCGATTGGGTGGCAGATTTTTTTTTTTCTCGTGCTGACCTCAAATATACATCCGTGCATATCTACAAATTTGACGTCGCATGTACGTCATTTCCATGTCAAAAGTTGGTCACATATTGACCAAATATGAGGTCATATTCACGTAAGTGGACGTCAGCTTTCTAACAGTGTTACTTTGCGCACGGGGACATTTGTTTTTCCTTTGCGCGCGACTTTGCCTTGGTTGACAAACTCCGTCGTCGTTCGAAAAACGACACTTTTAGTCCTTGCATTAAAAACTATTCCTGCTTGCAGTCTGCGCAGAAAAGTAAAGCTTGTGAAAAGAAAACGCGTACGGAAAAATATTCCATCCGAGCTCCTAAGAATATATATGTTACGGGCATTATAAACAATTGGGCATTGTTTATAATGCCCGGGCAATTTAAAAAGTGCCCAAAAGGATATGACAAAATGATAAATTATGTTGCAAATATTACATTGCCCGGTCATTATGTATAATGCTAAAAGTCAAGTGGGCAATTTAAAAATCATTTTTATTCATATTTCTTATAAAAAATAACAAATTTTTACATACCTAACTGACAAAGTAACAAACAAAATATAGCAAATAAAATTTCACATGCTGACAAACAAACCGGTGGCGAAGAAATAAGTACAAACAAAACTTAATTCCAAATAAAAATAATTTATATTTACACAAAATGTCAATACATAGACGGGTCTATTTATTAGAGCAACTTCTACTTTGGCGACATTGCGAGTTACATAGCTTTTTTTCTTTACGACACTTGCACTTGTCGAATTTACAGCCACCTTTACAGCCACATCGACTATAGCCTTGGCCCCCTGTCTTGGATGACAATCTTGCACATTCTCTTAGTGAAATCTCTGTCTGTGGAATATTGTAAATTGGTTCCTGGCATAAAGTTGATTTAGAATTCCGTGTTTCGTGCCTAATTTATACAGATTAGCATCTGTTACTTCAAGAACAAATGCCAAAATATTTCTTCCATCGGTGCGACCTCTGTCGACATCTGGGACTCGAACTCTAACTGTGTCAACTTTTTTAGCATTAGGGTATTCTGAGTTAGAAGTGTGAACCATTTTTTCAAGTTGTTTTTTAGATTGATTGCTGAAATCTGCCTAATTTTTAATATGTCGGCTTTCCTTTTTTTCACATAGGGTTCTTCCGGGGAATCTTCATGCCTGAAAGATTCTTGAAATTCTTTATTACATAAATCAGGGCTTGATTTAGCTAGCAAACTTGAAGTTTGAACATAACTATCAAGAGAAAGTAGTTCCTCCTCATCATGTTGACTTGGACCTGGTAGCTCCGCTATCACATGTGACTCAGGTTTATTTTGCTTACCTTCTTCTACAGACTTTAAATTGTTCTGATCTTTTACTAGAACTTCTAAGTCCTCTTCACAATTTATATTATGCAAAGCGTCTGTGAGTAAAAAACTTTTTAGACCAACTTTTAACTTTGTCCTAAACATGGCCTCATACGGAGTACAGTTGATACCACTGTGATGAGCTCTGTTCTTCATTAGCTGCACAAAACGAAAGCCTTCTGACCATTTCCTGGTGCTTTTGTCTTCTAGCCACGAACAAAGCATATTTTCCACGTCCTGATTCGCACGTTCTTCGGAACCCTAACTTTGAAAGTGTCTGGGCTTCCTATGCACCATCTTCAACTCGGGCCACATGCTACATAGTCGCTAATAGTACTGTTATCAAATTCTCTCCCGTTATCACTTTGCAAAATATTGGGCGCACCAAAAATTGCAAAAATATCCAAAAGCACAAAAGCTACTTCTTCTGCTCTTTTGCTTTTAAGAGGTCGAAGTTGAATAAATTTAGTAAGATGGTCTTGATTGGTATGAATTTATATTGATCATCAGCTTGTTATTGCAAGTCAATTAAATCGACTTGACATCTTGAATTCATTTCATCAATTAATCAAAGTGCCCAAAGAAATAATAGCGGTATTTATAATGACCGGGCAATGTGAGAAATTATCGTAAAGTAATTCAAATTTATCAAATTGTCTAATTTTAATGGTCATTATTCATAATAACCAAGCATTATGAATACTGACCTAAATAATTACATTGCCCGTAACATACACAATATCTGTAGTTTGATACCAATCTAAATCAAGGATTAAGGATGATACAATCCATAAAATTTTAAATTTGGCAACGATGCTGTTAATGTGTCCCGAATACTGGATTTTGCCCCTTATTTCCCGTTACGTCAACGCGAAACGGGACTATTTATACCGCATATCGATCCATCACCTAAACACGCTAAACATAAACACAGTTCTTACTTCCGATCAGAAAAATGGAGAAATTGATACCGGGTTCGTCTCAAAATTGTGAAATGATGTCCGACGAAAACGGTGTCAGCTCAAACAATGAAACATATCCGAAAAGTGATTTTAAATCTGGATACAAAACAGCCGAACAACAGACGCCTATTATCAGAGGCAGAAAAACGTTCGCTTTTTGGACGTTAGTGGTTTTGCTGTTTATTTTGGCAGTTGGAAACTTGATTTTGACCGTGACAATGGTGGGCGTTTTAAGGATAGGAAATGGGATACAAAGCATTGAGTGTCTACCAGGAGATAATGCTATTAAATTATTCGGAAATGTCGATTTGGGTCGCATATTCAAGCAGAATGGTATCATGAAGGGATTCGAGGAAGAGAATATGGATATATCAGCAGACGATAATTCACTACTCATAAATCTCTACTCTAGGTTGAATCGCGTTTTCAATAAATTCGAGTTAAAGAAAAACCACACCAGTTTCAACGGATTTAACTCATTCGAAGTGAGAAACAAACGCAAGGAGTCATTATTTGATGTATCCAATCCAATATACAAAAATTTGAAAGGAGTTCAAACATTTAAAGCAAAAAGCTTGTCCACTAACAAAATCAGAAGCAAGCTTGATAACGACATGGACATTGAAGGCAATTCAGTGTACCTTAAAGGAAATGAAGGAACCAGAATAGAAGGTGAGAATATAACATAGTTCAAGTTACAAGATTTCGTAAGATCCGTTAATTAACAACTTTTTTAATAAATGAATATACCGCATCTAGCACCCCAGTACAGGCCTGAGTAACACTGTGTTGTGTGGCGCTTTTGTGTTGATACCTATCTGTGCGCCTGCCACCTCGTCTAAGTAATTTTTTTATTTACTTGCTTATTTTTTTTTCAAATACTTTTTACCTTTACAGGATTGTCAAAATACAGGTAGTTCCAGAGCAAAAATAAATGGGACAAATTGCTATAACACTTTATCGAAAATTCAATAATAACTGATCTACAGGGCGTTAAAGTCTAATAAAATAATAATTAATTTTACAAAATCTATCAGGTTTTTAATACTCATTACCCAATTAAGTATTTAGTAAACAATAAGTAATTCTAAAAGTACCCTTGCTTCCATGGCACGCTCTGTTAAAACGTTGGTAACAATTTAATTAACGTGCAGTACTTAAAAACAAAAGACAATTTTAAAAGTAGATTTTCTCAGGGCTTATTTTAGAAAGATGTGTAATCCTTTTTTACGACATTTAGAGCGCTCTTTTATTTTTTGAAATAATACACAACAGAAAAATGGGCGAGTAGTATTAACTTAGTATTAACGGATAAATGTCAACTTGTGAACAATAATACAAATTATCGTAAGTAATAAGTGTGCCAAAATTTAAAACAATGATTTAACCAACAAAAGAGTTGTTCTAAAAAACATTTTAAAAATCTTACTTTAACGACCTGAAATTCAGTTGTTCTTGAGTTTTTGTGTTAGAAACTTGTCCCATTAATTTTTGTTCTAGAATTATCTCGTCAAGTGTTGGTCGCACCATTTCCGGGCACCCTGTATAACGAACCACAGCATAACGGTCGAAATTTTAAAAACTATACAGGATGATTTACGTAGACCGTGTATTAAAAGTTTTTCAACTTGTAGTTGTTTTAGAAAGTTAAAATTTTGTTTTCGGTTATTACCACGAGTCTTACCGAAACCATGTGAAATATAGTCTGTCTGCTATAACTTTGATCTCACGTCGGTCGAGCATTGTTGCCATACCCGCCATAAATTATATATATAAACATAAATATTCGAAGCATTATTAAATTATCTCAATGTTGTCTCGCTTTTACTGATTATTCTTGATGGAATAATGGTTTATTTGAAAAGCACAAATATACCGTCAACGCAACAGTCATGAACAAGTACATGACACATGGAACAAACAAACGTCATGTGTTCAAAAATTCCGATAAATCTACAATCGATTCGGCAGCATTGTAATTTTCACCAACCTAATAATTTCAAAGATGAACATAAATAATCAAGATCGCTTTAAATTACTTGATGCATCTTAATACGGTGGCTCATTTTACTTCTTTTAGGACGGGAAATAGTTTGGAGCGCCGACCAGGACATTTACCTCAGAAGTATCAACGGATCTCTCGTACTAAGTGGAAAAGAAGGAATCTATATAGACGTGGAACGATTGCCTTTAGCAAGAGTCGTAAAGTCTAGTGAATCAACTGCTCAGTTTAAAATATGCGTCTGCATGCCCCAAGGAAAACTTTTTAGATTACCTGTCGCCAACCCTAACGAACGAGTTTATTGCCATCAAGCCGATTTGTCCGCCGAGTTTAATCCCTGCATGTAAAACATGGTTTAGGGAAAAGAATGTTGAAATTCTACAATTTCTAAGATGAGTGTACGTACTTCATAGACCAACTTGAGTTTTTGGTACACAAAAAGAAACTTTACGACAGAAAGAGGAGATAACTTCAATACATAATAATAGACATTGAAAATTAAATCCTAGAACATTAGATGTGAACTAATTATTTGTTTTAATCAGTATGTATTCGAAGTTTTCTAGGAAGAGCAATCTAATCGAAACTAATAAAAAACTATACTTTAATGTATAAATCCTTTTAAAAAAATTTAATTCTCATTGATTGAAATTAACAATGTCAAACGAAGTTTCACTTAACTATAGACGTGATTACAAACTTTTTGTCTTGCTCATTTTGTACTTTGAAGGAGCTTCAAATATTGCCAATCAACGTTAGCAGCATTTCTATAAAGGGGTATTTGCAAAATGGTCTAGACCTTAGGCAAGACACTGTAACTTTCGCACATGAGTGCACCGTCAACATCATTATATTCGTAGGCCAATAACTATTGCTTTTCATGTATATTTCAAAAAAATGTGAATGATACGTTTGCCTTAGAGTACTAGTGGAGTGGGATTTAGAAACGGAAATAAAGTTAACTTTACCTGATCCACATAGCTTTCGATCATGTATTATTTTACTAACAGTGACAAACACACATCAATGATTTCACATATCGACACTATTGTAAATATTATGTGATAAATGACCCATTGGCTTATAAAAAAAGTAGCTAATAAAACACCAACTTACGTTACAGTAACTTGACATTGGTATAATTTAATTCAACTGATTTGAATTGGAAATTCATATTTTATGGTTTAAAAATGTTTCTTAATTTAATAAAACATTGAATTCGTCAAATGATGCAAGCGGGTTTGCAGCAGTTTCGCTTTAATTTAACTATAAAAGAAATTTACGATTACGAAAACCAATAAGCAGACACTTCAGCCTATCATAATTTGTATGTACTGCTGTTTAGACCACAGTATGATAGAAACCATAACATAACGTTAACAAAAGATATAGAGTAATTAATCGTAAAGTGCCCGTTACACGCTTAAATAAATTTGCAAACTCATCTACGCATAAATAAAAAGATGCGGGTGCCAAAAATCGAAATTAAACCCGACCTCTAAAGATATCACTTATAAACAGTAATTTGTTTCGCTTATTCCGTGTTAAAAATCACAAAAAAAAATTCGTTCAATACCACAAAATTATAATCCAAATTATGTATCGATACATATTCCGTGCTAAAGCGGCCCGACATTGAATTCAGATCGATACTAAGAAAATGACCCAATAAATTATACCTACTGTGTTACATAATAATACAATCGACGATTTTATGCCTCCTGTATTTCCATTATTTCGTCACCATCTCCTTCCTCCATCTCATCATCGTCTTCTCCTTCTTTTCGCTCTGGGGGATTCTCGTACGCTTTATCCAATGGGGAAACTACAACGCCTTCCCAGATAGACATTTCTTTAGCAATGTTGCTACTTCCCTCCATTCCTAAGATCTGCTTGAAGCCACCATGTGATAGGACTCTTAACAAGGTCTGGGCTGTTAAACAGCAGATATCTTGCTGCTCGAGTGTGATGGCCGTGTGAATTCGAAGACTGACACCCTCACACGGATCAGTAATGCCAGCGGAACCGGGAAGAAATAGTCCAGCAGCTAGAAGTTGGAAAACTCGGCGGAATGCTACATTGATTGGTAGGGCTTGGCGGCTGGGATTATGCATAATTGCAAAATGAGCTAGCAAATCCAACATCCATGGTGTTAGTGGCTCAAAACCTTCAAACCTCGTTCTCACGTCCCTCAGTAAACGAATTAAAACTTTAATCGAAGAATGGTGGGCATTTTCTTCAAACCACCTGCTGTGACGAATTGCTGCAAGGTGGCTAAGCATAATCTTCTGGTCTAAATGGATTTCCGGATCCAACTTGCGAATGTTGTGATGCAGTGTGGTAACGAGGACTCGCACACAAGCAAATGTGTTCTTAATTTCCAAACCTCTCTCGTTGGTTGCGTGTACGAGTTGTTCGCCTTTGGGTACGATTTCATTTTTCATCAGATTCTTCAGGTCTTCCTTTACTTTATTCCCGAGCGCGTCAACAGCTTCTTTAGTGGGTAGAGTTTTCAGGATTACTACAATATCAGCTATATTCGATCCAGTAACCATGGTGCCTTTCTTGAACGATCCAACCTGACGCACTTCATCCAATTGCTGCAAAGATGAATCAATATAAATTAGGGTACAATCACGCTAAACAGGTAATGTTTAAAATAAATGGGAACTTATTAGAATATTTTACTAGTGTGGTATGTTAGAACCAATGATATGTTGCGCTAGAGAGACGATGTTTAGTGCTTTTGAATGTCGCTCTAAACAGCTGTTTTGCTTACTATTATACGATCAACAAAAAGTCCACTGAAACAGTATAAACTATCTAATCAAGTTAACAGTCGGCGGCATGTTTGTACAGGGTCCGGAAAATGTTCTCCCATATTTTAATCTTTAATATCAACGCCATTGCAAATGGTGTTTAACTTTTATATTTATTAACTGAAAATGTATGTAATGCTATTTGTTTGTATTAAGTTTTGAATAATGGTCAAAAACACGCAAAGGAAAGAGTAGCCAAACATGGGGTTAGAAAAAACATCTGGATATACCCCAGGTGGGTAGGACAAGAAGTCCAAAATCCCACCTCTTAAAAAGGGACATCCTCAAGGATTCTGAGGGAGGCCGAAGACTCAAAGGAAGAATACTACTAAATAGACGACACTTAACGTAAGAACTTTAAGAACAGAAGGCCGAATTCTACAACTTGAGGAAGAATTCTGAGATACGATATGGGATATCATAGGGACTGCAAATTTAAAACAACTGGAGCCCAATTCTCGAAACTGGGAACGGCGATCACATGAAAAAAAAGGGCGTGGTTCTCTGGTGAAGCGAATATTGGTATTCTTGAACGCGATCGAGTGATCCCATCACGCAACGGCAGTAGAACAAGCTTCTCTTGCCAAATCTCGCGGGAACGCATCGTTCACCGGTTTTATAACCACAAACTACACAGGTTTTGGCGTAGGTGCCCGGTTTGAAAAGTGGTGTGATTTCGGTTCGAACTTGAAATAGTGAATTTCATAAATAAAACTGTACAGTGTTTATAAAATAATGAGCAATTTAAGAGATTTTCTAACAGAGAGTAGAGTGGGTATGGAATTGTTCTCAACACTCTTCAAGGTAAGTTTTTGTGTTTCGAATCGTACGTATTGTAGTAGAAACTATTTTAGTATTACTGAGTTGACGCCCTGTCTTCAAGCAATATAGAAATATATCTGAAAACAATATAGAAATAGTAATTGAGAAAGCAGTTCAACAATAAATATATTTAATTGATCATTATAAGAATAAATGAATGAATACAGACAAATGTATAATATTTTATATGAAGCATTAACAGTTTTTAAATTTAGAGAGATATTAAAGAAAACCAGTTTAATATTAAGGAAGGTAAATACATTTAAAAATATAATATAAGAAAGGTAAAGTCAATATTATAGAAAATCAATATTCAAATACGGTCAAAGACGTTGCTATGTGAGAAACACTCATCTAATAAATAATTTCCAACACTAGACACAGTAACAGGGCTGTTGCTCATAATTTTGATGTTGAATTCAAACAGGAACGAATGGTACCGCAAGATACTTTTCGGCCCGAGAATTCTAGGAATCTTAGAGGGCTCTTGAAAGTTAGAACAAAAGCACTGGCCCCGCATAACCCACACGTGTTCCCTTGGAAGTTCGCGGGAGGTGCTCATTCAAACGGTCTTCAATAAAATTTTACAAGTTTACGCTGATTTATTTACGTCATATTTATATATTATATCTATTTACTTGGTATAACAGCTTTAAACTTTAGCTGGTATAACATTTTTAATATTTTATTTGAAATGCCCGCCAAATCTTTGACCGTTAGATAAATCTTCGTCTCTTAATCGTAAATTTGAGTAGAATTTCCCTGATAAAGTTGTTGACAACAACGCTTTCCGTAAAGGCTTCTCACATCGTTTCCTATGCATTCGAGAATACGGTTTTCGAACCATAGTAGAAAGGGCAGGGAAGGGAATGATCACATCGGCGATAGGATCGATCGCGTTCTCTCGAGCTCGAGAATTGGGCACCTGGCGAGGATTTTGTGCACCTCAAATAAGGAAATATACTTTACGGCGTAAGCAAGATATTCCCGCCAAATGAGTGGGTTATCTGGCACATAAGAGATGGGCAGAACATATTATAGCTACAGTATCGATATCATCGAGAGTCGCATATATCCCACTGCATATTTCTAAGCGATATCAACAAAAACTCACACAGGTATATGCTTCAACAAGTACACGAGATTACTACAGAATTGTAAGAAAATAAAACAAACTTTCACATATCGATGCGATTTCAACGCGAAGATTCGATATAGGCAAGAAGGGGAATCCTGCATGGGTCCATATAGTACAGGAGTCAGAAATGTCGAGGCCAGACGCTCATCAATTTCCTGGAAGAAAAACAACACAAAATAATCAACACTTTCTACGAGAAAAAGCCACAACGCAAACGGACATGGAGAAGTGCGGATGGTCAAACTAAAAACGAGATCGACTTTATATAACAAACAAAAGCCACATGACCAAAGACATTACTGTACTAAACTGAACAACATTCTTATAAGCGATCGCAGGATGGTTAGGGCAAAGGTCAGAATCGATACAAAACATAATTGACGAAACTTACTGTCGTTGAAAGCTCTTCCAATAGAAACGATCTCAATACGTTCTTGACAGACAGTACAAAAGAGTATAAACAAATCTATTCCAGGAAACAAAATAGCAAAAAGGAACAGTAAAATATCAGACAATACTAAAAAAATGAGTGGGGACAGAAACAGTTAAAAAGAAAAAAAACAAACGGATCAGAAAAGAACTAAGAGAGGATATGGACAGGTGCAATGAAGGAATAATGCAACGAAGAGAGATGTGATAGAGGAAAATAAAGATTCTACAGTATTTAGGAAAAAACTATCTCAAGGAAAATCTGAAATAATAACGTTAATGGACGAAAATGGAAACAAAATAAAAACCCGAACTGAGATCCTAGAACTTATAAGAAAATCCTATCAAAATTTGAATTCACAACAGAGGAAACTGATGAGTGTAATTTACGAGACTTGATTGAGAGATTCGACAACCAAATCTCCAGCAAAAAGGAGCACAGCCTACTATGATAAAATAAATAACTGAAAAACTGGACACAATAAGAATTGCACAAAGAATGGAACGAAGTATGCTGGAAATACGACTGCGAGATAGAAAAACAATCGAATAGATCCGCCAGAAAACAAAACTGGGAGGATGCAGAAGAAACCCAGGAAGACCAAAGACTAGGTGGAAGGACGAAATGACGAAATTCAGAACGAAGGGAGAGTGAAATGGATCAGTAGAACGGCTGACAGAACCGGATGGACACAACTTGGAGATGCGTATGCCCAAGGATGGTCCGAGACACGCTAAGAATGATGATGAAGTTTTGAAAATTACAGAGTCCAAATGGTGATCGTTTTTTTCGATACACATTCAGAATTTCTGAAAGTTTTGTCAATTGAGCAGGAATTTGAGTACAGCAAAGTGAGTTGTAATTTCTTGGCGTATTGCTGCTCTCAATTCGTGAATGGTTCGGGGATGATGTTGAAAAACATTTGCTTTTCCATTGCGAATGTCGAAATCAACCTGTACCTCGCGTTTTCACGGCTGTGCACAACACATATTCTGAAGGAAGATTAGAAGAAGAAGGAGATAGAGAAGCGTGATTTCGGGAGGTTGATAATGAGGTGTTGGAAGAAATACGTCGGGATCTAACCACAACAGTATGAATCATCGAACGTAGGACAGCCATTTGCGAAACGATAGTACATAGAGTTCTCAAGCGGATCAAATGCACGCATATCACGTCCAAAATCAGCACAAGTGTCAGTAAATGCATGGGGCGGAATAATGAAGTCATTTAATTGGTCCTCATTTTTTCTAAGGTCATTTGAATGGAGAAATCTTTTTAAATTTTTGATCAATCAGCAATGATATTCGGGTAGACATTAGAGCAGCCATGTGGTTTCAAATGGATGGAACGCCAGCATATTTTCATCGCGAGGTTCGGGTATTTTGAAATCTTCATTTTCAACAGCGCTGGATTGGAAGAAGTGGTTGTCAAAACTGGCCTCCGCGATCACCAGATTTGACTCCTCCGGATTTTTTTATGGGGATATGTAAAAGGAGTAGTCTATAACACTGCCCCAACAAAACCAGAACATATGAAAGGGAGGATCACAGAAGCTTTCTAAAATATAAGCACTGCTATGCTGTCAAATGCAGCCGAGGTGTTTAAAAAAAGAGTGCATTTATGTCAAGAGTCAGACAGTCGTCATTTTAAACACTTATTATAAGTTAGGTATTCCCGTTGTAATATATGAATCAATAATGTTATTGCTGGGTGTCTGTTAAAATTATGTGTCTCATTTCATTTGTACTTTTATGCTAAATATTATACCATATTTAATGCAGTTTTTTATCTCCTTTTTGCATAAAATACTGGGTGTTAGCATGTTATCACCGTTAAAAACTTGCAATAATAGATTGAACACAATTTTGAGACACTCTGTATGGTTTACTCGTATAATAGTATTGCTGGGTGAGTGAGTTGAGTGGTTCTTAAAATAATAATTTTCATTTTATTTCTACTTTGATTTTAAATATGATGCCATATTTAACGCATCAATGCTGAAAGAATGCGATTTCCATGAAAACCTGACGAATTAGGTATAGGATACCTTTATAGCATTCAAAAGAAAAGTAAATTTTGCATCTGTTGCACCTGTCATAAAATACATTGTTATGTTATACATACAAGTTTCATTTAATTAGGCAAGTTCAAAACGTGCAAGTGTTTCAGCACAATTTTGGGACATCCTGTATGACGTAGTCGATTTTTTAATAATTCGACATGAAAGAAACACCATCTACTATTAGGTAGGTCAGCCGCAAGGTAAAATTTGGATTCGCGATGCAAAATGTATTGAGAATTTAAACTAAAAAAAAAAGTCTACATTTCGACAAAACTACAAATATCTCAGACGCCATAAGCTTTAAGTATGATAAACCTTAATAAAACTCACATATATTTCGATCGCAGATTCTATTAACATAATAATATACCGGGCACTCCATTTTAAAAAAATGCAACTTTGGGTTGAATCTAGTAATTGGGACACCCTATACATTAGAAAATAATTTTAAAATGTACCCCTAACAGGTCTCAATTTATCCGTAAAATAATGCCTTTTTTAAATTAAATAGTTTTTTTAAAACCTAGTTATTATTAGTATTATTTATTGATTACTTACACAGGCATCAAAGTTTCCAGGCGCGACCACAAGGTTATCCAAAACAGTCTGTATCTTCGTCACGAGATTCAAAATAGCAGTTTGTTCGACTGGTGTAGGAGACAAGTCACTGTTGCGTTTAAGCAGAGCTTGTGTGAATGCTGTTTCTTCGGCTGCTGGTTTCGTCCTAGGAAAAGATGATTCACACAAAGCCAAGTCGAAGGGATGACGGGGAAGAAACATCTTCACCTTGTATGGTGGTCTGCCACCTATTCCTCGATTCATGCCTCCTCTGCCCCTCATTCCGCCTCTAGCCATAATCCTCTACAAGTATTGAATCAGAATTAAATAAGTCATAAACCATACAATCTGTTTTTAGTCGACATTTGGTCTAAATAGCTAGATGACTTAAAACTTGCGATATTTTCGGGTGTAGACACCATCGTAAAATAGCATTTATTCCATTTATTCTTTTCCACGACGATTAAGGACAAACTCAAGCAAAAGTCGCAAAGCCTAACTCTTTATATTAGTCTTCTTATAACTGAAACGGTTACAAATACCTGATTAATTATGATCTATCTATTCAAGGAAGCGTTTCGATAATTTTCTTTCTCTAATAAGGGTTTGTCAGAAATTCCTAACGCTTTAAAATGTATCTGAAAAATGAGGCAATTTGAGAGGCCATTAAAAGCTTATATCTCTGAAACTGTAAGAAATATCAAATTAATGATTAGGCCATTTTGGATAGTGTCTGAAGAACTCATACCACAATTACTCGTTAACCGAAATTATGTGATGAACATTTTTGAGAAAGCAAGTCAAGCTCAATAATGTTCATTTTAATTGCTTGCATACATACAACATAACATGATCATATCGATTATGACGACTGAAATTTACTGGCAAAACACAGATATTTTATAGAATAGTAGGGCCCTCGTCAAGTCTCTTAAAATACGCGCTTGATAAAATGCAATTGTACCAGTACAACGAATTATAATTTCGGAAACGGTGGTTTGTTTCAAAGCGCAACTAACCGACCAAATTATGAACCGTGCTAGATGTATACGCTAGGTAAGTATCTTTGGCGCGCAGTCATCCATCTACCAGATTTTATTTTAGGTTTTGAGGTAGGAACCACGTGTTAGAACATGCATTAAACGAAAGGAAAATTTTCTCGTTTTTAACTGCATTTTGTGACAAGTTGCGAGGTTCTTGTTTGCTAAGAAATGGTCGTTACGATAAAATCAGGTTTTCAACTAGCCGATCCGAGCAATTTTACTGAAATAGTGAGAAATACTACACTCAAGTGCAAGTTTCTGTGCAGATTTTAGAAATTGAACTATGTCACTTCTTTGCTTACTCTGGCAAAGATAATGTGCATATAATTGTCGAAAGGGGCAAAAAATTTTTTACCACCACCAAACATTACTCACGGTAAAGACGAGTAAATAATTAAGTATTTCTTGATTGAGATTATAAAGCAAATAGTGGCATAACTAGAGCACACTGCCGTTGTAACAATTATGTTTCACATATTTTGTGGAAAATCTTTATCTGCCATTATTTCATTACCAGGTTCCAGATGTTTAAAAAATCATTTGTGATAAAATTATCAGTTGCTCGCCGTTTAATCGAAAATGTTGTCCACGGGTTGCATATATAATATATATAAATAATCTTTATTTCCTACAGAAAAGGGCTATCGACCCAATCGGTCTTTCTGTCCTTGTTTAGTACATATGTCTTAGCCTAGTTTATTCTAAAATAAATTCCTATTCCTAACAGTCGTATAAATTAATCAGCTATAAAAAAATTAAAATTCTTGGCTTACCAAACAAACAGATCTTAGTCCTTAGTTCAGTTTCGTTTGTAGGTGTTCTAGTAAAGTATTTGTTGGGTACGAAAACGGGAGTGTTTTGTCTGTCTTGTGAGGCAAAGGGGATTCAGTAAGGTCCAGTTGGGGTTGTTTGTCCATTTTGTCTGTAAGTGTATTAGTCTTTCCGAAATTTTTGTCATGTTTATGTGTTCGTATAGTAGTTGGTTGGAAGGGTTGTGCAGTGGGTTTTCTTCAGGGCAGTCTTATTCGTGTTATTAGTCTTAGTGCAATTTGTTCTGTTGTTTGTACGTATCGTTTTGTCTTTCTGTTCCGTTGGCCTGATATATTTTTCTCGCGGTACTTGTACTAATTCCTTTGTCTTTGTATGTTAGTGATCGAAAGTGTTTTGTTCTTTTCATCGTTTCTGTTCTGATGTTTCGTGTGTGTTTAGTGAATTTGAGTTTGTGGTCGATTGTGATCCCAAGATACCTTACGTCGTTTTTCAGTTGTGTCGTTTGGCCGTCTGCAGTTATTGTAGGGGAATCAGCGTTGAGTCTGTGGTTCGTGAGCAGAAGTTGTTTTTTTGTCGCGTTTGACGTCTCCATTTATAAAACCATATCATTGCGTTGTTTGTTAGTGTTTGGAGTCTTTCAGTCGCTTTTTCCGTAGTTTTGTCGTGTACAATAAGTGCCGTGTCGTCAGCGTATTGTAATATGTATGACGTTTTGTCGATTTGATTTTTGTCTGGTTAATTGTATGTCATGGCAGTACATACTGCAGAGAAAGAGTGAGAGTGGGGACCCTTGAGGGAGCCCTTGTTCAGGGAATAAAGAAAAGGAGAGTGTGTTGTCAATTCGTACTTGTAGTTGTAACTATTGAAGGGTTGCATTTTGCTCATATATTTGTTTTTAATGTAACAATGCGTACACACGCTCAGCGCGCGGATGTATATACTACCTCAAAATTGAAATATTATCTCAATATATATATATATATATATCCGTCAGGCCGCGGTACTTACCTAGCGTATACTGCAATTAGCTCTCTGGCAAGCTGAACAGAAAAATACCCCTTGTAAGAAATGTGTCCTGCTTTTTATCGCTCCACCAGGAAGAGCAATCCTGGAAAAAAAGAAAAAAAAAATTAGATTCGGAAAACAATTAAATATATTTAGTCCTAAATATTGAAGAACTTCGGTCAGATATTCAAGAAAGTCGCGCAATGAGGCAGTACACAAGACCCAAGACAAACACCGAGCATTATGGCGTAGACAAGAAATTGTTAGAAAATTTTCCAGCTATGGGAAACTCAACAAAGTCGTTGAAACATGCAAGTCTTACCTAGTGCAAACATCGAGCTAGAAATGCGAGAACTCTTTTTGAAGTTTGGAAGCTCGTTTTTTCAAAAACTTAAAAGTAAAAGAATTTATATCCTAATGTTGAAGACATAAAGGCTGCGCTGAGTTATAAGGGTGTTTTTTTAGAGGTATAAAACTGTTTTCCGTTTAAAACTGAAATAAAACTTACTAAAATCATGTTAACGTCATGGTACTGGCTTTATTAAAATGGCAAGTGTATTCCATTATAGCTTAACTTGATTTAGCTTAACTTGGTTTTGGGTATAATGCGTCGCCGCTGGCTCGAATAAAGAGCAATTTGGAGGTCCAATTTTCGACCACGTCCAAACATCCTCCAGACCATAAAGCACAAAAAAACAAAGAGTTTCTCTGGATATAACGTGGTCGCAATCAGGAACCCGGACCGGAACCGATATGGACCCAAAACCGGAACGAAACCGTTTTTTTTGGACCGGAACCGTAACGGAACCCATATTTCCGCCGCGACGCCGTCAAAGGGAGAAAATATAAACTGGCTGATCCTAAACGACAAGATCTTGCATAAAATAATTTTTTTTTTATAGGAAACGACATATTAAGCGTGAAAGCCGTTATTAACCGTTGATCTCAATGATATGAAAAAGCAAAACACCTTTTTTGCCTGTGGTCTTTACAGTATTTGAATAAATAACTTGAGTACCTAATATTCTACCGATCAATTGCCTCTTCACAGCACAGTGCGCCTGCGCAATTTGGAAATTAAAAAGTTGGCATCCTCATTATTTACAAAACAAAAATAACTCTACACGGTTACAACCTATGCGCTTACTGATGCCTACAATTATGGGTCAAAAAATAACAAATGTTGCTGACGGGTAGTTTGACTTCATTAAAAGAGAAGATAAATCTGTTTGCAAATTGTGTAAAAGATGTCAATAAAGGTAGGTAATTAAGTTATGTAATGTTTCTTGATATAGGAATTTTTTTGGGGAGGGTACGTACTTGTTCGTTGTATATAGATTTTGGAACCGAAATAAACCGAAAAAAAACCGGAACCGGAACGGAACCGAATTGAAAATTATTTTCTAAACCGGAACCGAAATTTTAAATTTTGTCTTGGACCGAAACCGGAACGAAACAGTTATTTCGTTTCGGTCCGGGTCCTTGGTCGCAATAATTGCTTCGGGATTTTCGTCACCCCAAATCCGGCAATTTTGTTTATTTACACAACCATTGCGTATGCGGCCACGTATCAGAAATAGCCATAATTTGATTTTGTCTTAAAGCATTGTCAAATTACTCAAAAATATTTAAATTTTACTAACTTGAACCCGAAAAACTAGTTCTTTAGATGTAAGAAATAATGTGCTTGTGAAGATCTATGGAACGCTAAATGCAAATGCATCGTATTTACAACTGTGTAAATTTACCCAATATACATTTGCGCTAGTTTTTGGGATATAAATTGTAAAAACAAGCCCTGTAATAATTGAATGGGAAGCTAAGGGTATGTATTTTTTTTAGTTACAATTGTAGATCCATATGTAATGAATGTAGCTATCCTAAATTTTTTTCGAGTATCTTTACCTACTTTTTTTTTTGCTTAGTTTATTTTAATGTTGACACAACATGCTAACTTTTAAATACTTTACCCCGTGCGACCCCGCATGTTATATGCCTTCAAAAAATGTTTCAAACTTTCAGATCCGAACATTGTGAAGTAAAAGATCACCATTCTTCACAATTAACCATGGTTGATGGTAAAGTATGGTGCACCCTTGCCGAAGTCTCATCAAGTAGGTGTTATATTTGTAATGCAACACCAAACGAAATAAAGGATATCGAACTGTGTTTAAGCAAGCCGGTGGATATGAATAATGATTTGGCTTATTTCCCCTTCACTCATGGATTGGGTTCTTTGAATTCTTTATACATCTCTCCTACACTTCTGCCAATGAAAAAATTTCAAATCCAAAAAGACTTTAATGAAAAATAGGCCTGATTGTGGACAAGCCGCGAAGTGGAGAAAGTAATACATCGTAAGATGGAAATACTGCACCACGATATTTTACAAATTCTGATATTTCGGCTGAAATTACAGGGCTAAATAGAGACCGTATCTATAGATGTTGCGTTCTTTTCAAGCTATAGGATCTGGATATAAACTCAAATCAGAAAATTGTAAAATACATGCTTTAGAAATAGTCAGAGAACTTGTCAAACAATATCCGTGGTATTATCTACTCGCTTCAGTTCACAAAATTCTTCTACATGGATCTAATGTAGTTGCTCATGCACTCCTGTACATAGGCGAACTTCCTGAAAAAGATACAGAATCGCCCAACAAAAACATAAAATTACTAGCTGACCCGGCAAACGTTGTATTGCCATATAAATTATTCCTAGGGTTTTTTTTTCATCTCGAGTGGGCGGTTTGCCCACTTGAGATTTTTTTAATTTTATTTTAAATTTATTGAATTACTAATATATCTATTAAAAGATAGGGGTTTATGGCAGCACCCATATCACTTAGGAGTATAAAAAATAGATAACAACCTATCTATCTCAGACTACTATCTCAGACCTACTGAATATACATAAAAAATTTGATCAAAATTGGTCAAGCCGTTTCGGAGGGGTATGGTAACTGAAACTGACACGAGAATTTTATATACAGGCTTGCTCATTAGTGCGTCAAAGTGCGATATCTCAGTAAATATGAAGTTTACAAGAAAATTCGTCCAACGAAAGTTTTTCACGTTTAAAAGGTCCACAT